CTTTCATAATTCTGATCCGTAAATGATTTTCATCTATCTATTCTTTTCTAATTCCCTGATTACAACGTAACCTCATTTGATAAGTGGAGACTCAAATCAACTCATGATACAATCTTTTCTATCCTTCTATAGACATATATTTACCATACGACTATAAATGATAATGTACATCTTAAGTAAACAATTTCATGGAGAAGAAAATTCTCTTCACTGAATCCTGTTTATTTATGGAAAAATAACAAAATGGGCCCTTTTTTAGATTGAATCTTTTAGCTACATTTAAATAAATATCCCTTTCAGAAGGGGTTTTGTGGAGATTTTAGAAAACTCACTGATTGAAATCCACAAAACCCCTTCTGATAATAATCATCTGCTCACTAATGACTGACTTCAGGAGATACTCCTGGAGTCCTAGTGAGAAGCCGTTACCAGTGGAGTTCAACCAGGTCTGTTGTAAGAAATCAACTCACTGAAGATATTGGTGTACGGTGGCGCAACTCCGCGGATTGGTTGAAGTTAGAAACCAATACCGTCGGATACCGACTGGCTCAGTGGTCTAGTTGGTTAAGCGCCTGGTGCGAGACTGGTAAATCTTGGGTTGGAGTCTCGCGGAGGGCGGGATCATGGATGCGCTCTGCTGAGGAGTCCCATACTAGGACGAAACGGCCGTCCAATGCTTCGAGGTTTTCCATGATGGTCTAGCTTCAATTGACTGATGATTTCAATCAGTGAAATATTCCTTTATTTCATTTGATTATATGAGATTCTTGTTTATGTAATAAAAGTTTATGAAAGATAAAAAAAGTACCACACCAAATAGACCACCATGGTGTAAATCCTTCCATATTTATCCACTAAGAATTTATGTAAGTTTCATTTATCTTGATCTTAAATGATGATAATCTATTAAATCATGTCAACCAAATATTAACTAGTAAATATTTTTTATCACATATAGTACACACTGAATTACCTATTCATTTCGTATACATATATGTGAATCGATATATAATATTACTGATCCAAGACGTTAGTAAATAGTAGTCAACTTTCTTATCACTTTAAATCATTTTTATGTAAAACTTCCTTTATCAATACATTAAAAACGATACCGTTTATTCTATTATAAAAAAAAGAAAAAAGAAATCCACATTTCTTGCACACAACCATCTCAGAACAGAAAGATAAATACATGCTGACTAGTGATTTACCATATCGATGTTTCAATAGTTTATTTTATCTGTTCTACATATATGTCATTCATATAGTTAAAGATACATAAAAATATTATCAAGTTGAATGATCGCTTTATTAACTATATGATTGACCTGAAAATATCAATTTATTGGTAGATGAGCATCTTTATGAACTCATTCGTTTATTTATAATGATTACATAGATATGTCTATTCATATTTATCGGTCTTTAATGCTTGAATAATCAGTTTTAACTATAATAATCGGAAGGGGTTTGTGGAGATTTTAGAAATTTCACAGATAGAAATCATGAGTCAGTTGAAGCTAGACCACCATGGAAAACCTGGAAACACTGGACAGCCGTTTCGGCTCAGTGGTCTAATAGCTAAGTGCTCGCACCAGTAGGTCATGGGTTCGAATCCCGCGAGGTGAGGGGTCGTGGATGCGCACTGCTGAGGAGTCCCATACTAGGACGAAACGGCCGTCCAGTGCCTCCAGGTTTTCCATGGTGGTCTAGCTTCAACTGACTCATGATTTCTATCTCTGAAATTAACTCCAATTGACAGTATTTATTTATTTTCATTTATCATATGAACAATGAGTAACACAATCATTAATCATCTTAACAATAATTAAATAATGGCAATGATTTAATTAGTACATAAATAATCTTTATATGCTCCATGAAGGTAAAATACTGTAGGATGAATCAAAACAAATAAATGAATAGATAAATAATAAATAAAAGTTCCTCAAGTAAAAAAAATAATTATAACAAATTCTGTAACCTTTTTTTTGATTTTCTTAAATTTAATTTCCATTTTCCAATTTAATCGATAATTGTCCGTTGTTCTCATTAAGTAACAAAACAAAAAAGGATTACTCAAATACACAAACATACATTTGTATACATACATACATACATACATACATACGTATTTTGAAAATGATGTTTCTATATCTTAGGGTAAAAGGAGAGAGATGGATTCACATTTCATTTATAATCAATTGTTATTCATAGTATAAAAGTTATATCTACTTATAATACATAGAATTATATACAATTTATGCATCGAGTAAAGTGTATTTCTCAGTATGTTTCCGTATATATATATGAGTATATTTCAACCAATTGCGTATTTTAACACACATGGATAGAGGAAAAAGAAAAATACCTAATTAGCATTTTTCTTCGTTTTTCTTTTCTATTTAATATGCTTTACTGATGTTATTATTGTTTTGTTTAGGTTTTTGTAACAATCAAAAAAAAAAAAAGAAAACTGACCTAATTTAAAAATACGTACAAAATTCAAAACAATTTACACAATAATGATAATCATGGTAACTTTATTTTGTGTTTCAATATTTCTAGAGATATTTCCACATCATTATCAATGTATAGTATGTTGTGTGTTTTGTTTTTCTACAACAACAAAAAAAACAAACAAACGTTTCTGTGTATTCAAGGAAAAGATTGAAATTCCCCCTCCCCCCTTCTCAAAAAAAAATAAAAATAAAAGAACATGATTTGTTATTTGGATTCCTGTTGTTTAATTTAATAATTTTTTTAATATCTACATTTTGGTCAAATGATTGACTGATTGTAATCAATATGAAGTGAAATAGAATCTTTTTTTTTCAAAAAAAAAAAAGGAAAACAATCCACATTATGTATAAAATTAGAAAAAAAAATAATTAAAATTAATATTTCGATTATGTTCAATGAATTGAAATGATCAATTAATTTAGATTATAATAAATTTAATTTAGGTTAAATAAGTTTCTAATTAAGCTGATCAACCATTATAAACAATTATGATTAAGAAATTAGTGAAATGTTGTAATTTATTCTAGTAAGTAAATTTTATTGTAACCATAAATTTATCATAAAGATATTATTATGTTATATTGATAAATGAACTATTCTCTTAGTTGAGATCAGAAGTGAATTGAAGTTAGACAACCATGAAAATCCTGAACACACTAGATAGCCTTTTCGGCCTTCACTGAGGTATATTCTGGAGTTTTAGTGAGAACTAGTGACCAGTGGAGTTTAACCAGGTCTGTTGTCAACTAGTAATTCACTGATGACAATGGTGAATGTGTCACTCAATTTCATGGATTAGTTGAAATTAAACATTAGCACCGTTGGATAGTGACTGACTCAGTGGTCTAGTGGTTAAGTGATCGCGCACGAGCCTGATTGGTCCTGGATTCAAATCCCACGGGGGGTGGAATCGTAGATGCTCATTGCTGAGGAGTCTTACAATAAGGACTGAACGGCTACCCAGCACTTTTAGGTTTTACATGGCGGTCTAGCTTCAATTGACTTATGAACTCAACTATTGGAATTACTATAATGTCCACAAAACCCCTTGTGATATTAAATTAACTATTGATGAAGTTATTGTATACTCACTGACGATTTAAACTCAATTACAGAACAATGAAGTATAGCGTTTTAGATCATGATTTCTGTAGATTGTCAAGTCATTCCTATTAATGAATCTTTTTTTTCTTGTGAAAATTCATCTGTGTTCTTATACGATTTTCATGTAGATAGAAGTAAACTACATAATTTTCAAATAAGAATTTCTCTTAATAAATTTCACAATTCTATTATGTTCTAGTTAAATATTTGAAGAGAATATAAATGAAGTACCAAATAATAATTACTATAGTAATGTATATTCTTTGGTAGGAACTACGATTATGTTTTTGATCATGATAGTTGATAAAAGTTTCGAATTATATGAATAGATTACATTCCATATATCATTTATGAAATACATATTATTATAAAGCTAAATGAGAATAGCTGTATCTGACTACTAAACTGTAATAGATATTTTTTTCTGTATGACAAGTAAATTATATATCTTATAAAATCAATATTCTATAACTGTGATTGGATAATGAGTTCACTTTGTTACTGTGTTTATGACAACGAATTTGAAAAAAACAACTTATACCATAGCATACATATACATATATCCCGCGAGCGGAATCGTGAATGCGCACTGCTGAGGAGTCCCACACTAGGGCGAAACTGCCGTCCAGTGCTTCCAGGTTTTCAGTGATGGTCTAACATCAATCGGTTCATGATCTCAATAAAAAAAATGAAACTAACCTATAATGAATGTCATCATATCAATCAAATAAATCAAGCTATCGTATTAAACCAATAACCATACTCTAAGTAATGTGAAAATTAAGTTTCATTTATCAGGTTATGTGGTCACTGAATTAAGTATGAGAATAATTAATTTTGTAACTATCTGTGAATTATTCGTAGACTATTGATATCTTAGGTATTCCATTGAATTGTATTAACATTTTTTTTTACATTTGTTGATTGAAAAGATCTAATTATTGACAAAAACTTGATCGTAGTTAATTCTATAAATATTGATTTGAAGTAAAAAAAATTACAACTGAAGTATCATTGGATACATAAACCAGAAAACAATTCTTAGAACACTCTTAAGTGAAATGTAACTTTGATAAAGTACGATTTTATTTATTGACATTCCTAGATCCATTCACTTTTTTCCAAGTATGAAAAATTCATACTTTATGGATAGAAAACAAAAAAAAGAAGTTGAAACTACTGACGTATTAGTGTAAAACATATCACTTTCTTTTAATTCCTTTCACGTGATGTTGACTGAATTTAAGTAGCATTAAATAAATCATTTCGGTATGATAAAATCATAAATCTTGTTATTATTTAAAACTTGAAATATTTTGCCTTGAAGATAAATGACAAAGATTTTTTAAAAATAATTCTAAACAGTATTCCATGAAAGTTATAGATATAATAGCTGCGAAGTTTTTTTCTTTATCTTTACATTAAGGAAACTCAATGTTCTATAGTCCATCAACAGGTGTTATGGTTAATCCACATACTGGACTACTACCATCTACATTAGATCCTAATCAAATGAGAAATCAAGATTCTCAAACTATTAGTTATGATTTACTCAATTCATCATCGAATTTATTATCTCTGTTAACTCATTCATTACAACCTATTCAATCAACTGCATTTGTAACTTCTAATCCTCGTATCCCAATCATTACGAATACAACTGATAATAATAACGATAAGAATAATCATTTAAATATGTATAATAATACTAACAGTAACTGCAGCAGTATTAATAATAGTTGTAATCAATCAACAGCACAAAATAAAGAACAACAGGTAGCAGAATTTATTAATACTAATCGTGCCAATAAATTACAGTTTTTATTGAATTCTATGACCATCAATTCAATGATACAAAACGGAGAAACTGCTAATCATAGTCCTTTGATTAATTCTACAACTCATTCCTTACAAACAGATATTATAAGAGCAGAAAATGATCAAGTTGAAATTAATCAACATTCTCATTCTCAACTTCCTCATTCTTACTCAACTTATAGTCAACACAATCAACCACAATTACAAATATTCGGTCCATCAACAGTCCCATCGGTTCAACAATCATCAATTACCGGAATAAATTATCATCCACCAACCGTATCTGAGAATCTTGTTACAAATGGTCAAGCACATTATCTTATTACAGGTGCACCCAATGGAACAAATCCTAGTCATACAACAGTATTTGCTAATCATATACAAACCTCACCAGTTACATTGATTCCAGAAATTGATTATAATGTAAGATTATAACTATTGTTGTTTTCATGTAAAATGAATTAATAACTTTTTATGAATATAACTAAAACCTGATATATTTTATTAAACAAAATCGATTCTATTTAAAACAAAGATAGATAGTGGCTAGCAATAGAATCCAGGACGCGCATTCCTCTGTATTTGCAACTCATCATCTGAATTCACCTGCATCCCAGGGTTCATGTTCACTCCGGAACTCGAACCCAGTACCGTTCGCTTCAAACGCCATTGCGTTATCCACTTAGCTACTGATTCCTGATAGCCACCTGTTTGTGCAATGGAGTGAACTTTTTTATATCACTTGATGTTATTTTACTTGTATCTCCTCATTATTATTTAGGACAGCAGTTGATCAGTTTCTTGTTGGAATGCAGGTACATCCAGCTGATGAGTCCCAAATAGGACGAAACGCACATCCTGGATTACTCTGCTAACCACCATCTATCTTTGCTTAAAAAGCTTGTGACTTAAGTTTATATTAAGGCAATCCACACAGGATGTACATATACCAACAAGAGACTAATCAATTGACGTCTTAAATAACACAATGAGAAGACACAAATAAAACAACAACAAATGAATTTAAAATCAATTCTATTTTAGAAATGAAGAATGAGTACCAAGCCAAACAAAAAAATTAAATCTAAAGTTTAAAATTTCGAGAAGAAAAAAAACGGGAATAAAAAAAGAGATCAATGAATACGGATATATAAATGTATACAGATGTACTTGCATAAGACATCAGAATTTCATGTATATAATATACAATTATAAGAATGATAAACTACATTATTTCATGACTGAATAATTTTTAGAAATGTGTGAGAAGAAAACTTTTTTTAAAGTAAAAACTAACTAGAAACAATAATAATGAATATAACTCAATCAATTGATATTTCAATTTAGTTCATTTTATCAATATATATAACTCCATTATGATCCAATATAACAGTTGAATATATTTAGTCTACATAGTAACTATTCAATTAGATGATTTATTGGATTAAATTTATTCCCTTTTTTTGTTATAAAGAAATGGATAGTTTATCAATTTATTTAGTTATTTGTTTATTCATTTATTCTTTTGAATTTCGTTGACACATTAAGACAAAAAAGATAAAATTGAATATTTATTCAAACTAGTTTTTTCGATGGTTGAAATCATGAGTCAATTGAAGCTAGACCACCATGGAAAACCTGGATGGCCGTTTCGTCCTAGTATGGGACTTGTCAGCAGTGAGCATCCATGATTTCACCCCCTGAGAGATTCGAGTCCAGGACCTATCAGTCTCATGCGCGGTCGTTTAACCACTAGATCACTGGGCAAGCCGGTACCAAAAGGTGTTAATGTCTAACTTTAACTAATCCACGAAATTGAGTGACACATCCACCATTGTCATCACTGAGCTGATATCTGACAAGAGACTTGGTTAAACTCCACTGGTCACTAGTTTTCACTAAAACTCTAGAATATACGTCTTGAAGCCATTCATGATCTCAACCATTGAAATTACTATAATATTCACAAAACCGTTTCCGATATTACACTAGTTTCCTTTAATTTTTCTCTCTTTTGCTTTCTTTATCTTTATTTTTTTTTGACAAAACTTGTTATCATTAGTATTATAACTAAATAATGTGAACGTAATCAAACAAATAACTTGTACTCTAATTTCTACTTCATTAACTCTGACCTGATAAAACTAGTTAATTAAGTAAGTAAATTAATTCAATTGTTTTCTTTTTTTCTATGTATATATTATCTAAGGTTAAGTAAATAAAGATAGAATGAAATCAAAGTGAAATACTTCACTACTTTTTTACAAAATTAAAGTGAATATTTATTAGATACTGATTCGACTTAAAAGATAGTAAGCATCCTGAATGGATAAGAAAATGGAAACCTAAATAAAAAAAGTATTAAAGAATATTAAGTGATTATTTATCATAGTCATGAAACTAGTTGACTACCTCCAACCATCATCTAAATCTCAATACATAGTACCTGCATTGTCGAGTCACCTAGACTGGTTGCCACATTGCAGCATGATCGATAGCATTCGATCTGCACTAATAAGGACTAGACAAGCATGATATTGATCACCACCCAGTGATCAATCAATTGTGACTAGTTAATAGTATCCACATAAGTAATATATAACGAGAGTCAGGAATACAATATATTTCCGTAGAAGAGTGAGAAGAAAAGAACAGAAATAGAGAGCATTCGGTATGAAAATGCACGAACAATAAAATTCGAAACGATTGACTGATATTTGCAAAAGGAACAGTCAAGTTTGCGACAATTGATTGATATTTTGAAAATTAGGTATTTACTGTATGATTATCAGATTTTACTAAGAGATTCTGTAATTTTGTGTTCAAATACATTTGACTGTCCATACTGGTGTTCTCGTTCATTACAGTATCATTTTTGTTGATTTGTTACGATTTGATGAAAACATCTTTTTCAAAAAAATAGACCTTTTCACTGAATGACTTATGAATCGATATTAATATTGTAGAACTCCTGTAACTGCTATTTTTAAGAATGTTCTCTACACTTCTGTGGTTAAAGTAACCGAATCCAATTCAGATGAAATAGATTTTTTTTTTCAAAATTCGCAAAAATCAAAGCACGAATATTGTTAACTCAATGACAAAAGTGAAAGAATTTATAAAGATGAAATTGTTGAAATTCCTTTTTTTGCCTGACAGAGAGTGTCTGTTTTGATGGAATTAGACAAAATATTATCAGTATAAATGAGATGTAGTGTGTTGTTGATTCTTCTTTATTTTTTACTTCCTTAACTTCTTCTGTTTACTGTTAAATCATTTCGTTCGACAGAGAGTTAGTTTACATTTGAAATTTGAGTCTGAGAGGTTGATATATTTTATCAATGTCAACAGTGTTGTGAAACATTAAATGATAAATAACACTCATAATGAGTGGCTTAAAATAAAGCTCCTAACTTAAATTGCCGACTAATCGAGAACTAAGAAACTTATTTTTACATCAAAGCTTTAGTTAAGTGTTAACTCAGTTATCAAATGTCGTGCTTAATTGATATATTGAACATCTAATTGTTCTCATTTCATCTTCCCAGATGGTCATATATTTGAACGTGAATCGAACAAACTTAGATATGCTAAACACTGGTTATCAAACAATCTAAATGTAGTAAGCTGTTAAATTTCACTTAATAGTTAATTCTTAAAGGTGAATGATTGTTGTCAAACTTTAAACATAAAACGAAGTCTATCGTGAACTAGTTTCATATGAATTCATCAGATACTCAACTGTTATAAGCCTAATGAATGTTAAGATTTTGGTTTTATAACTGGCTGAAATATTCCTTATTAACCAGATTTCATTATTATAAAGTGACATTACTGAACAAATTAACTTCTACCAAACTTCAGATTGTTATTTTGTAAATTAATCCTAATCAAACAAACATGTAAACAGTCAATCTTAAATTTACCCAAAGTGAGTAAACAATTGTGAGTAATAAACTAATCTCAAGGTTTTTTATCAAATGTTATTAACTATTCTTTACATCCGCATTGCTTATTACTTATACCTGAATCAACGAGGAACCACTGCAATTCTCACAACGCTACGTATGAATACCAAAACTGGTACAAGTGAAGATTTATTAACCCAAAAGTTTAACGATATATCTAGTCGAAAATACGTCCATTTTCTATTGATTAAGCATCCATTTTCATTACTAAAATAAAGTCACATATATGAAAAATACCCAAAATTATAACAAAATCAGATGTAACATGTCATACTGAGCATAGTTTATGTTAATTTTTAATATAAGAATATTGTATCTTGAATAAAACATCATTCTCAATTAAATTATTGTTTTACCAAATAAAATATTACACTGGAAACAAAAAAAACAAGTACTATACTGAGTAATCATCACATGGAATTAAAAATTTAAAAAATGTTGAACAAAAAATAATCACAATGAGTAAACGAATATAATTTTGTCTTTATATCTTATCATCTTGTGGTTTGTGCTACTGATATCGATAGATATAAGTAGTATGTATCATCAATCGAAAGTCAAATGTCTAGCAGTAGAAAATTACAAAGATCAAATAAAACAAAACAGGAACAAGAAAAAATGATTGGTATGGAAACGAAAGAATGGTCAAGTTTAAGACAATTGATTTACATTTTGTAAATGAAGTATTTATTGTATGGATCTCAGATTTGATTAAAACATTCTGTAATTTCGTATTCGAATACATTCAATTATCCTCACTGATGTTCTTGTTCACTATAATCACTTAATAAAATTTGATAAATACAGAGAAGTGTCTAGATATGCATTAAATTTATGACTTTTAGATGTTGCTTTCAACTTGATACTCTTATAAAGATGATTATTCTTTCATTATAATTTATTTATCTATATTTTAATTGAAATTGTATTTCATTAATTTAACTAAATATGACAATAAATAAATTTCTATATTTAAATTTCTTTTATAGGCTTGTTCAATTATACATACATATAGAAATGGATAATATAATTTTTGATTAATTCTTCATTTAACTTTAAATTTACCTCTAAAATTGAAGTGAGTTAATTCAGTTTTATTTATTTTAATTTGAATTATTTATTTAATTTTCTTTTCTTGTGTTTTTTGTTGTTGTTGTTGTTGTTGTTGTTGATAATATTTATTGAGTCCACTTCAATGTGCAGTTGTTTTAAAGTAAATAAAATTTTTAAAAGTTTCCCTGAAAAATTTAAACAATTTATATTTTCAATAGTTGAGATCATGGGTCATTTGAAGCTAGATCACCGTGCAAAACCTGGAAGCACTGGTTGACCGTTTTGTCCTAGTATGGGACTCCTCAGCAGTGCGTATCAACGATTCCACCTTTTTAGCTTCTTAGAATATAATACTTGTTTGACTGATACTTTACTAACTGTATAATGTGGCCTTTTATCAGGTATATTATACTGTTAATTTACATTCAAGTAAATAAGATTTTTAAAATTTGTATTTGTTTTAGAATTAATATCTATGATATATCATTATAAATGTTTATTATAAAATGTAGATGAAATAATTGACAAGATTTTATTCATGAAGTTAATAATAATAATTACTTAATGGCCTACAATTCATCCTTGTATTGGTCGTTTGAATCTTCTCGTTGATGTTTAGAACTGTTATTGGTCAGTCTTTCACCGGCATATGTGCATCCTGTGCCAAAAGCATTAAAAACAGAGATGGTTGGTGGCTGGCAGTGAAATCTAGGAAGCGCGTTTCGTCTCATATTGAACTCGTCAGCTGGATATATCTGCATCCCAGAGTTGAAGTTCACGCAGGAACTCGAACCCAATATCGTTCACTTCAAACGTCATCGTGTTATTCACTTAGCTACTGAGTTCAGATAGTCACTAGCTTGTGCAATAGGGTAAACCTTATTCCTCTTTTGTATTGCTTGTTTGAATCTTTCTATTGATTGCCCGATATTATTTCCCAAATATCTGTCCCATCGCATTTATACAAATGAAATGTAATTATTTAGTGTAATAAATATTCAGTTGAGACGGAACCACCCTACCTACCATTAATAAGTAGTATAATTTAGGCTACACAAAAATTGATGTATAGAATTTAGTCTAAATACTTAATTATATCATGAATCCAAGTTATAGATAATAGGAATTACAGTCCAATATTTAGACATTTATAATTTAATTTATTTTATTTTATTTCAGTCGTTTTACAGGCACAATAATTAAATGATTGGGTGAAAACATTCCTACTAATTTCATCTAATCAATAAAAATATATTATATTTTTATTAAATTGTTCTCAACTCAACCAAAATGCTCAAACTCTTCAGTGTGACTAAAAAAAACATACCATTTTCTAACAATCAATTTAATATTCATTTATTCTTCATCGTTTGCATCAACAAAATCAGTACGATCTTATATTACAGATTATGTTGCCATAGAGATTGTTATTATTACTATTATCATCAATTCTTTGAATGTAAACGCATGAATCGAGTTTTTTCTGCCATATTCTACTTTCATTTTTCTTTTCTGTCCCCTTCATTTTCATATAAATTTTTGTTTTACTAGATTATATAATAATTACCTTATTTATTTCAGTGAATCAATAAATTAATTTTCAATATATGCATTTCTTAACAAACTAATAAAAAATAAATTTCTTAAATCATTGAAAGAAAAAAAAGTAACTTTGTAAACATTATATACTGTGGTAACATTACCCCCCACCCCCATGAAAATAAAATGGGAATCGTTTTTTTTTTGTCGTTTTTTTTTCAATTTTCTCATTATTTTAATTTTCTTTAAATCAATTTGTTTTCCAGTGAAAAAAAGGTATATCGTTTTTAATTTTCTTCCTTTTAAACATTAACCTTTATGATATTTCATTTTTATTTATTATTTTAATCAGGTACTGTCTATAATCTTTATAAAAAATAAATAAAATCAAGGTATCAAAATGGCTGTAAACTATTGCAAATTATGTTAGAGTACAGTTTTATTATAATAATCCAATTGTTTATCATTTACACTGTATAAATGCTTGTTTGTTTGTTTGTTTTTTCTATTTAGTTATTGATATATCTATCTGTAATTCACTCATTATTTCTATTTTAAAAATTATAAACAATAAAATGTAATAGTTGCTCATTAATATATAAACTCATATTAAATACTACAATGTTGGCATTAAAGAAAAAAAATTGAAAGGAACTCTTTTGTTTTCCAACAAAAAAGGCAACATTAGGTGAACACACTTTTAATAATCCTGTTTTATGATTTATAATGAAATGAAAAGTTATAATTTAGTCAAATTCATCATTTTGTTGTTGTTGTTGGTGGTGGTGGTGGTGATGATGATGATGATGATGATGATGATGATGATGATGATGATGATGATGATGATGATGATGATGATGATGATGATGATGATGATGATGATGATGATGATGATGATGATGATGATGATGATGATGATGATGATGATGATGATGATGATGATGATGATGATGATGATGATGATGATGATGATGATGATGATGATGATGATGATGATGATGATGATGATGATGATGATGATGATGATGATGATGATGATGATGATGATGATGATGATGATGATGATGATGATGATGATGATGATGATGATGATGATGATGATGATGATGATGATGATGATGATGATGATGATGATGATGATGATGATGATGATGATGATGATGATGATGATGATGATGATGATGATGATGATGATGATGATGATGATGATGATGTGATGATGATGATGATGATGATGATGATGATGATGATGATGATGATGATGATGATGATGATGATGATGATGATGATGATGATGATGATGATGATGATGATGATGATGATGATGATGATGATGATGATGATGATGATGATGATGATGATGATGATGATGATGATGATGATGATGATGATGATGATGATGATGATGATGATGATGATGATGATGATGATGATGATGGTGAAATTAATCAAGAAGCATTTCTATAGAAAGAAAATAATAAATTAATTTTGTAAACAAATTATTCTTAAAGTTACTCTGAGTTTCTTTTTTTTTCCTGGTAATTTTCTTTGAATATATTTTCTGATGAAAGAATATTTCAGAATATTTATTTTAAAAATTTATAATCACGATCACATTACTACTTATATTATGATTATAAAATTTTTATTATGGTAAATATGAATTTTGTTCTTTATAAATTAGTACAAGTGTACAAAACGGGCGCAAAACTGATCATAACAACTAAGGTATACACATGTTATAGATAATACATGTATAAAGATACATGAAGAAACCTGTGTAAGAACTATCTGAGATCGCATTAGAAATACGAAATAGATATACATTTCAACTTATCTTATTGATGAATTCATTTACGATTATTAAATCATCTTGGTTTATTTTATAATGTTCAGTATGGTATCTTCAAAATGACTGGGAAATAATTATATTTGAAGCAATTAAATTTCGATAGTGTAATTAGAAGACGAAGATGATCAAAACTATGTTATATAATGTGAAAACAATTTGAAACCAAGGTAGGTTTAATGTGAGAACACAAAGGGGGTCATAAGATTGATCATAACTCGGTTTTTGTGGTGTTGTACAAAAGTATAAAAGAGTGTATACTAAGGTTCATTGAAGCTTTAGCCATACAAAATTTCAAACTCCCTCTGTGATTCAAACAATAAAATATTAGGTAAAAAAATTGTCAATTTTCTTGAAATGAACTGACGGATTCAATTATATTCACTTCATTTATTGAGAACAATTGTTTTTTTCTTACCTAACGGAGTGATGATTAGTTTTGTTTTATAAAGACAGACGAAATAACGATCACATTAGATGAAGTAACAGGCAAAATACACTAAATTTTATGATGCTTACTGTTGAAATTCTCCTTTATTTCCTTGACAAGGTCTTAAAAAGCCAAAAAAAGATAATCAGAATTTGTTCGTTTACAGCTCAGTGAAAACACAATAGAATCTTGATAGAAAAACCACGGATTACGTGTCACACTTTGAATTTTTGGTCATTCGGTTTACTTAGCATGCTTTCAAAAGTTTCTAATATGTTAAGGTTGTTCTTAAGCCTTTAAATACTTTTGTTCTCTGAAAATAAACAATTTTTGAAGTATAGCTTCTGTATTGTACCACTTGAAGCTCATGTTCATGAAGATTTGGAAGATATGCCAAGAGCACGGGAAGACATTATCAACCATATAAGTTATAGACTTAACATTTCTTATTTATGCTTATTTAAAAAAGTTAGTCCAACTACCATAATCCGTCTTCAGTTTTAAATACAAATGTTCACTTACAAACTAGTGAACACCAAGGCAAATGATTTTTCTGAGCTCTAACCTGTTGAAAACCGTGTTAAAATATCCTTCTTTATTGGGTATTGTAGTACAAAATACTTGGGTGTTTAATGACTACAGATTAAAACGGCTAGACTTTAATTTATAGACGAGCCAATCAAAAGCTTCTGAGGGAATTCAAGGTTACAACGCCCATTTCAGTACCTGATGCTCACGTACAATCTGTTCACAGCGGATTTTAGAGAAAGCATGGTAAAACAAGTGGGACTACTAATAAATTCCTTTATTTCTGATTGTGGTAATCAAATGACTTGTGGACCTTGTTCAGACTACCATGATGATGTCTCTCGATGTAATATGTGTTGGAGGAAGAAGTCCGATCCAGATTGAGACCGAGGTAAATTATGACAACCGTTGCGAATAATAATAAAAGATAATAATAGAGCCAGTAACACTGACTGCATCCGGGTACTACAATATATACGGATGATTGGAGAGCGTACACATGCCTACATAGACTTGGTTATGCGCATCGTGTCGTAACCCACAAGCGGCATTTTGTGGACCCAACAACCGGAGTGCACACAAACAACTTTCAAGATATATGGTCGAGGCTGGAAGGGTTTTTGGGACCTTGTCATGGCTCCAAAGGCCTACTATTATAGATCCACCTTGACAAGTTTTTGAACCATGTATAAGAATTGTATCCACTTTAGTTCTTTGATTTTGTATAGTATATTTTTACTATATACTAACTTTTCTGATTGGCTACTGTTTCTCAAAGTCACTTAAGATTTGTTCAGAAGCCGGACATAAATTATAATCTCGACATCGACATCTAAATAATGTACATTCTTTTCGCTACATACTGCCAGCAACCACGATGTCTCTGATTGGGCTTTTCTATAACTTATGCAACGGAAGGCTGTAAACTTTTCATAAATGTACCTCAGTAGGTTATCTGACTAACAGACATAATGATTTGTTAAAAAAACAAAAGCGGAAAACTTGTTGAAATATTTAGATGGTAGGAACAGGTAGCCGAGGTGTTCAAGCAGTATCCCATCCAAGTATGTTACCACTGCCACATTTATTTTATTACGCGATCACTTTGCAATATTCATTGTTATATTATTTAATTTTCCTAATGCCGACCAAGGTATAACATGAACGGTAGTCTCTATAGTCCACTTCTTTGAACATCAGGTTTCTCCAATCTTGATAGAAATATTCTTCTCTGTGATATTATTAACCATGTCGAAGAATTTTCATTACAATAAACCAAGCTTAACTCACCAGACAAGTAAATAACTATTTGATAATAGACAAGATTGGTACTGAATTGGATTTTAGCAAAACAATCAATACTGGAATATAGATACATTTAGTGCGCAAGTTGCAAACAAATTAACAGGCGCATTCTTTCAAGGAGACTTATTAACTTAGATCTGAATATCAACAACGGCAAAGCAAAAACCCTTAATTGTTATAATAAGTGTGCTCATTCGATGGGTTACAATACGGCAATAACAGTCAATTTAAAGCGATTAGTCCCTTTTATAAATTTGCTCTATCGAAATAACAGTAAAACAATAAGTGTCGTTAATACAGACAGTAGCTTAGGATCAATGTATATATTTATTAAGCTACAACTTGACATAGTGACGAAAATTAATTTTTCAAGTCTATTGTAAACGAAAGTGCATACTCAAATCCGTATAATTTGATAAACTCTATGCTTCATTACGTTTGATTTTCCACCTTTTACAAACTAAATAGAACATTGACAGCATTCAAAAACATTTTGAACAATTAAACCTGGTACCATATACTTTAGTGATTCTCTGTGAATATGCTATTCCGATACACTACACCATTAGTTCAACATATCTTGTTAACAGGAACGATAATGGTATTTTAGTTATGAGTTCAATGAATTCACGAATATCACTTTATTTGTTATTAGTTATTGAAAGCACTTAAAATAACTGAGGTTAAATAAACTATGAATGAAACTTATCGCCAAAACATTGCAATGAAGTTATATGAAATTGAAACCCTAAATCATTTTTTGTATATCATATGTAACAGAATTTTTATTTTATAAATCTTCAATGGTACTCAATTAACCGACATAATAAGACATTGATTAACAATCCATATTCACATTACTTCTCATCGTTTCATATACTCTCACCTTCACCCCACTGAAAACAATAGAAGCGAAGATAAATAAACAAGTCGAAAGCTGTTTGTTGTATAACGGCTGGTACTATGTCAAGCTTCTATAGGTTATTCTAGCCTCTGGACAAATCAGTCTATTCATTCTTTTCAAGAAACATTTTACCCTGTCACTTATTCGCTTATTAATATTGACTGTTTTTACATAAACGTATGTGTATGCATCTCTTATTTTACTCATCACATTCCTTTAAATTATCTGTGTCTGAATTTAAATATCAATGCACGCTTGGTTAAATCACTATCCTCCTTCATTGTGTGTCATTTTGTTTTGCTTCGCTTTCCAATCAATGATTGTACGAAATATACGTATTCGAAAGTCATTCTCGTGCTTGACTTATTTTAATCCCGATATATATATTCCAATAACAAACAGTCATACGATCTAACTGGAATTAGCTCTCGGGCCGCCAATTATTGCTGACGACGATTGTACGATTGTAAAGTATGAAGTTTTATCAGATGCGATCTTAAGAATTAACTACTAATAGTTTGATCTCATAAGTAGATAAATCAAGAATAAGATCATTTCAAATAAAAGTTATTCATGGTTTTTATCATAGTAACTTATTTATTTCGTTTACACATCAAATATATGATTATCTATAATTAGATTAGTTGTAATGATTAGTTACCAAATGAATTCTAACTGTTTTACTTTGTACTAACAATTAATCATGATTACATTAAATGTCTATATGGTTCTTTCAACTTCGTAAACCTATATAGTTTCCCAATAAGAAAGAGATGAATTAATGTGTATATTTTTTGGTATGTTAGCATACCCATTTTCAGACTATTGCCTCATTAATTATATAACAGTTCGTATGAATGTACGATGCATATACTCTCCGAATGTGTTTACCATACTTGATTATAGTTGTTGTAAGTATCTATAATAAGAAACCATGTGCACATGTATCTTTTCTGGAGGAAACATTTATTGTACATAAACTGTAGTATCATTATTCATCTATTATTATGGAATATCCCAAAAGCCACTATTCATTTTGATCATTCAAAATGTATTGCCTTATTCAATCATGTAGTTTGATAAACTTCGTTCATCTGAAAATGTTAAACCGTTATGGTTGAAAATTGTGAAGGTTGTTTATCTTAAACACATTCTGAATCATAAGTGAACTTTATTTAATCTCTTATTAACAGACAAATAAAACTAGACAGCCATTTTGTCCTAGTTTTCAACTCCATATCAATGTACATTCACAGTCACCAAGTTTTGCCGCAAGCGCGTAACCTTTAGGCCATTCGGTAAACATACGGTGGTTCAATGATCATAGAACTCAAGCGTCTCGGGAATGAAAAAGGTATACCAACGGCAAAAGATCCTGTAACCAAGACTTTTTACTTTAATTGAAGTAGAAATTGTAAACTATTTGATATTCACTTAATGGTTTAAGGAAGTGCGCTTACAGTAAGATCTGAAGAGCTTGCCTTTGATCATTGGGGAGTTTGTGAATGTACACTCCTGATAACTCACATATACAATAGGACAAAATAAACATCCAACCTTCTCTAGTCTTAAGAAATATCTATTTTAAGTCAGTCTTTGATGTATAATATATTCAATATCAAGGTGTGTTTTGAAATTATTAACACTTAGGTCGAGTCTGCGAGCATTTTGCGTATTTATGACCTATTGACTTAATGTACAATTCATAAAATGCATGGTTTTTTGACACTGATAGCTACAACTTTGAAGCTAAGGCTTTATTGTTTATATCAATAGATACTGAGCAAATTCATCTTTAAATAACACTTATAAACTTTGTGGTCGACGTACTTTTAGAGATAACACTCTCCTCATCTAAATTTCCGGGGGTTGAACTTCTACCGGGAGGTTCACTTGTTGACTTAGAATATGCAGATGACATAGTTTTATTTGGTGAAGACGCTGACAAAATGCACAGTCTTCTGACCACTCTAAGCAACAATGCAAGCATGTTCGGGATGCGATTCTCCCCCTCGAAATGCAAAATGTTGCTTCAGGATTGGGTTACATCGACACCCGAACTAGTGATAGGGAGTGAAGTAGTTGAGTGTGTCGACCGCTTCACTTATCTTGGAAGTCTCATCAGCCCTTGTGGTTTAGTGTGTGACGAAATCTCAGCACGGATACAGAAGGCTCGACTAGCTTTTGCCAACTTGCGTCATTTATGGCGTAGGCGAGATATCCGTCTACCAACCAAAGGACGTGTTTACTGCGCAGCAGTTCGTTCCGTCCTACTTTATGGCAGTGAAACATGGCCGGTAAGAGTAGAGGATATTCGTAAGTTACTAGTATTTGATCATAGGTGTCTTCGAAGTATTGCTCGTATATCCTGGGACCATCGAGTAAGTAACGCAGCTGTTAGGAAACGGGTACTAGGTAAGGATGGCAAATCAATTGATGAAGTAGTAAAACTTCATCAGTTGAGATGGCTGGGACACGTGTTACGTATGCCCAACCACCGACTACCTCGACGTGCTATATTCAGTGGTATAGGAGTAGGTTGGAAGAAAGCTAGGGGCGGCCAGACCAAAACATGGCACAAGTCCATGAAGTCACTGACAAGTGGACTGAGTCATGTTGGTAGGTGTAGACTACCTGGTTGGGGAGCGCGAGATGATAGTAACCGATGGTTAGAGACCCTGAATGACATGGCTCAAAATCGTTTGCAATGGCGCAGGTGCATCCACTCTCTATGTTCTCCCAAATTCTAATCTTCTGAATTCTTCATGTCCCTTTTTTTCATCTTTCCAAATTTATTTCACTGGATTATACTCGTTAAATAACATCTCCAAACCTTAATCTTCCCGATTACTGCTTATACTCTTGCTACCTCTACCACTACGGGATTTGAATCGACCACTGCATCTCTGTGCTAATGTGGTATGGCAACTCGAACTGATGTACGTACGTACTAAGTTCTACGTTGTTACTGACTGACTGACTGATAAACATGTAGATATATTTATTAAGAGGTTAATTTACAAATAAGACAAAACAAGTACTCATCTTTTCATATAACTATTTCGAAATATAATTTATATTAATGATTCTAAATAATTCGACTTAACGAATACTTGTTGAAGTCAAAGATCATTTAATAATTACAAAAAAAAATCCTTAAGATGAATTAATAAATAAACACATATTCAATAGTTTTCATTTTTTTGACCTTCTACCAGTATTCACAATATCATTTGATTTTGAATTCCATAAGTCAATAGAACTGAAATTGTTGGATAAAACAAGCAAAATAATCATATTTTTTTTAAAAATATTATTTAAATTAAACATTGAAGAAGTTTACATTGTAATGTGTCGATGTTGAAATGAAATAGAATAATTTAGAATAACTCTACTAATTGATTGAATTTATACTATCAAAATCTATACACTTGATAATTATGATCATATTATAACACTGGATATTAAATGCAATATATTTTATCATTATTCAACTGTACAATCAGTCAATTATAAACAATGTAAGAAGTAGCATAAAGTATATATGTTCAAATTAAAATATCCTATGACAAGAAAAATCTTCATTTACAATATCGACTATGCAAACAGAGTTATTTTTTCATAGAAAATTAACATACTTTACATTTCTCTATTTCTAGATAACACGAACCTGATTGTTTTATGACTAAGTAGTTAAGAATTAGGAAGATTAGTTTGTAGAAAGCAACTAGTCCTCTTGATAAATTTGGGTAATTCAGGGGCCATGCGAAATTCATTTGCAGTATGTGGTATATTAGAGCAATAAATATCGAATAATCTGATTATACATATACTTCTTAAGACGAGTCTGTCATACTCCATTGAGTCTATCAATTTACAAGTGTTTGTGCACACATACATAGAGAGTACGAATCGTGAGCGCCATGTAGTTGTGACTGGACACAAGATCAAGTGTATTCAAATAACAGAATAGGAAAGGCAAACATCTTTCGCCGTTACGAAACATTTCGTTTATACATATAAATGGTTAGGTAGACAAATTGAAAGATAAGAAAAATATTAAGGAAAACTTTGTAAATCATGCCACACTGAATAATAAATTAGTAGGATCAGGGTAAGAACAAATCCCTTTTGAACATATAAAGGGGCTTCAATCTTCATTTGACCGGGGCCTTGGTAAATCTTAGTATGTGTTTTCTAAACATATATATATATATATATATATATATATATATATAGGTTCAAAAAACTGTTTTCACATTTCGTTGTCCAAACTTCTAATATTTTATTTTAGAAATTATAATAAGTGGAATATAAAATCCTATTTTCCAACAAACTTAGCTAATCTAGATATAAAGCTATTCTGCATGTGATCATAAGTCTTTCAATTTTTAGATCCATAAAATGCAGATTATAAACATCGACATATCCAGAATTCAGCCAGTAAAGACTTCAGTGTAAATGATGTCAGCAGGTATTCAAACTTAAGTTCTTATTTTTAGTCAAAATTAGATTTGTAAACAATCACAATATAATTTAGCTCGCTAATATCATTTGATAAGGAACGAAATCAAGAATGACTTCAGATAATTTTAGGTTGGAGATTTAGTGCATAAATCAGCAAATAAGAGTCTAACATACCTTCCGTGTTTGTTCGACGTATCGGATTGAATGGTAGTTTTTCCAAAAGAATTAGAACGATTCATCCTACTGAAAAGAAAGTAAAAAGAGTTTGAAATCTAACAATAATGAATATTTATTATGTTAACGATTTCAAAACAATGCTCGATAAATAAGGAAACCGGTGAGAGATATCACGACGTGTTACCAATGTAACTTACAAATAGATTATCAACAAATATTAAAACAGCTCATAATCCCTTTTTAAATTCAATGCGGAAAGTGTTTACTCCAAAGATTATAGCTTTATAAAATAATTTACCTTATCATTATTCAATTCCATTAATCTCTAGAACTATCACACAATTTATGAACTTCACTAAATTATTACACCACCCACCCTGGATTAACCTCCCTCTTTTGACCTCTGACCTGTTTCTAGCATATATATATATATATATATATATATATATATATATATATATATATATATATATATATATATATATATATATATATATAGTTATTATTGTAATTCTGCATCGATGTTTGTTGTTGCTCTATTTAAAATAATAATAGTAATAAACTATTTAACTAACAAAACCCTTAATTTCAAATTTTCTCCTGAAGGATAACTATGTACAGTTTCCGAATCCAAGACTTCCCAGCCATGTGAATCATACAGTTCTAAGTTATAAACATTGTGGATATAACGAGGTTAAAGAAACTTACTGTGTAACTTGCTCTCAAAACTCGAGAGATAATCGTGTACCCACAAACATTAGAAACCAAAACTTTAAACAGATGAACCCACATGTAACTGACCACCGGAGTAGACTTACACAATATGTATGCAGTAAGTTACTTAACGAATACATGTATATGTGCTCAGCTTTAAGCCGCATGGTTAAGGTGTTAGCGATACTACCCGGTTACCTAAACTAAAGTAAATAAGGCATGATTTAAACCAGCTACCTACTGGTTGATGATCGACAAAATATATTTTTAATTAACTTGGCATGTTTTGAAGACCAGAGATATCCTTTAAGGCATTTAGGCATATTATAGGAAGTGTCATTTGTACTGAATGATGACATAAAGCCTGGCTCTTAGAATACTGAATACTTTATACAACGTGCTACATTTGAAATATTGATTTGAAATTTTTTTATAAACGCAAACTAGAGTCCTAACTTTCAAATACTGAATAGTTCAAGTGTCTATGTAGCAAAACCATAGAAATCACAATATTTTCTGCCTTATACTTTTTTAAAACTGAGGTTTTTCCAGAAAAATCAGCTCTAAGCCTATAAAATGCTACAATGGCTACAATCAAATGGTATCTTTAAATTAGTTCTTAAATAAACCACTTTAAAATTATTGAAGGATTCTCTCAAACTTTTAGACTGTCGACAAGTGAAACATTCGTCTAAGTATTCATCCAGAAATATGCTCGGAACTCACATTATTATTATGTTTTCCATGCGATTCATTGGCCTGATAAATCACTGTACATATCTAGTGCGATCTTATCTTTTAGGTGCAGCGTTGTCTATATTATATGATTCAGTAAATGAGTGATCAGCGAAAAGGACATAAACACTATAGACTCGTTGATATTCTTATTTGTTTAAAAGTATTTTAATGTTTAAAAGCAATTCGTAATTTTTTAAAGAGATTCTGAGCCATTAAAACGACCGTAATAAAGATAACAATTGGATGACAATTGGTCACAGCTTTCGAATTGCTTAAAAACAAAGCTGGCAAAGGCAACCTGCTGCTACTCTCGTTATCCAAAATAATAAATTTTCAAAATCACCAAACATTTCACAACTTTGTAACCAAATACCTGCTGGAAGAACACCAACCCTCTGGCTTAAATTTTCATGGTAACATTCTTCATTCACATGTGAGAAACGTTCCCTTAATATATATACTTTAAAGGTTACGTCAGACACGAGTTCATGTACAGGATTACCACAAGTGCTCTAATGCCCTATTTCCACTAAGACTCACTCGTAAAAGCAGGTATTTGGTCATACTGAGACACTAAATTTTATGCTTATATATGAGATTTAGCGCTAGCCAAACTAGATGCTACACAGTGCTTTTGGTATAACACTATGAAGACACTAAATTTAAAAAAAATTAGTACGAACTATACTAATGCTTATGTTACATGTAACTTTACCTAGAAAATTCAAAGTTCAGTAGTTTCCTGGAGTTAGGGGAAACAGGAACCCAGTCTTCTAAGTTCGCTGAAAATTGTTCGTGAGATTCACGTGTATTCAGAAACAAACGTTCAGGTGTGTATAAAGAACACAATTGCTGAAAAAGTGATGAGAAAATGTAAACATTACTTGGCTACTTGGAATTGGATCATCGTCAGTGTACCAAAGTTGCCAATCTTGTAAGCCTAGATGTACAACTGCTAATCTGATGTACTGACGGAATGTGCAGCAAATCTTGTGAATACTCAAATCATTATTTAAAATAAAAACACCTTCTTGGTTATCACTAAAAACAAAAATAACCGTCGTGCCATTCAGACACTTTTCTAGTTCATAACTAGTCGGCCATCTATTGAATCCAGGGCCCAGGAGACTGTTTACAAATACCTCAAAATCGTCGTTTTTTGTCTCTCCATCAAGATTTACGCAACTTAATTTTATGGATTTGAAATCCTCTAGTTTATTTATTTTGATTAGTCCAGCTACAGATGTTTTTTCTAAAGAATTCTCTTAATTATTTTGCAATTTACCATTACAAATACTGTACCATCCAAGCTCGATGCCATTAGTAGTCAGATAAAAGTCTTTTAAATCATTTGGCAAAGCTAAGTTGTTAAGCGACTCCCATATTTGAATTTTTTCTTCTGAAACCGGTTCAGTTGTTTTCAAATAAACATCATGAACACCGGGTTTGGTAACTAAAAAAATTAAAAAAAACATGAAGATGAGTTGTACCTATTATATCTTTTAGGTCTTGAAATGTTTTAAGAAACATGCGTAAATATTGTGCTCCTCGTAGATATGTGGGAATTCAACCACTGGATGACTTGATTATTTAATTCTATACAGTATGCAACGCCTAGGTAAGGAAGACACAGAAGTATACTTAGATCTGGGAATATAAAATGTTGACAGTTTTCATTGGAATAAGGTTTCAAAAAAACGTTGATTGAATAAATTTATATGAAGTTGTTGTGGAGTTTAATTCGGTATTATTGATGAAACAATCGTAGGAGTGATCAATCCATCAAGATGTATACGTCAGTCTCTAATGGTGAAGACAGAAGGTCAGATAACTTTTGTCAACCTTTTAGTTTTATTGTACCGCAAAGATCTGATTTTGATTTGTATGAATCAGTAGTTGCTAATAGTGTGTGTTCTAAAACCGAATCTCAGTAATTCACCGCCTGATGTGCTAAACAAAACTCCAAAACCAAAAGGCTAGATCTTGGTTTCTGGGGTCTTTTGAGGACATCGTTCCAAGTTATCAGTCCTAGATGGAAGAAATAAATTAGATATATTGGTGCAAAAGTTATTATTCTGTGTACAGCAAGCAAATATGAAATTACCTACCAACCCACACTCGAGTAACAGAAATAAATGAAAGCGTGTACGTCTATTTTCAGACGACAGATTATAAAGACCTTTCATTATTTCAGCCCCATACTTATCAAACCCATTCGACTACATCCACTTCATAGTCGAAACAAGAGATCACTGATGAAATTTTATATTCCGAATTCCATCTCACGTGTATTTGGTATGTTATTTTGAGAAGTATTTCCATCTAAATCCCGATATGTTTTACGAATTTACGATAAAACTGGAAAGTCTTTGTAGGCAACTATCTTGTAGTTCCTGTTGTATTAGTTATCTTTACAATCAGTGACCGAGGAGAAATGGATCAAGTAAGAACTAAAATGTAAATGTTATTGGATATATATATATATATATATATATATATATATATATATATATATATATATATATATATATATATATATATATATATATATATATATATATATATCGAATGCACCAGCATATGTAGTAGGGACAGACAACAAAAGAATAATTGAATCGAACGAAGACAACTGCATTGGAATAATAATCGTACTGGATTAAAACTAGATTTAGACCTCTTCTCAATTGGATTGGGTTTTTACTAACACTGGCAACTAGAATCAGCAGCAATTGTATTGTAGTTAAATAAGCCCATGACTACATTTGACTGATCTGTATTGCATTAAAATGGATACGGAATGTCCAGAGTGTCAATTAGTCAGCGTATCTCAGGTATTTGTAAAACAGTATAGCAATGTAATACGATCGACAGATAGGTATAAAGGCAGACAATCACTTAAAGGAATATTAGAAGGATTCACATGTAAGGCACAAGTTAACCAATAGGATTGAACTAATTCATTTGACAATCACATGCTTAATTAAATATCGTATTTTGAAATGAATGTGCCATTTTACTTATCTCACAAATCTGTATTATATAATGTCATTACTTACGATCCTGGGGTTATAACTGCAAACTCAAGCTCCTTATGATCAATAACGCTAGTTAAAGAGACTCCATATCTTATGTAGTGATGAAAGATACTATAGGGACCATAAATCTCTACTACACTTACACAAGAATTTGCAGTATGACCATAATTTATGGACGACATTTAAGTGACGCTAAAGTGACTTTTGGAAAATTCCCCTACTCACTAGAGTTGAAAGAGGAATATAAATTAGTGTGAGGAGTTGGGATTATCATTTAGAGTTAAACCCTAAAGTTAGGAACAATAGTTAAAAGTTTCACTTTCAAATGATATCAACTATGATGTCAAGATACTGCTTAACCGTACGAATGAATGTGTTTTGTGCCAAAATTCAAGACGCTATCTTTAACTTCGTTAATTCGTCCGCGAATTTACTTTTTCACAAAATTAGAGCACTTCTTAGTGTAAATTTTGTTGGAACACTGAGGTGTAGTTAATCTGAAAAAAATTGATGCAGTAATCTTACAAATTTCGAACAATTCGGTCACATATACTTTCCAAGGCATTTTATAAGGAAATTAGTGAAGGTTAATAATATGAAATCTTAATCGATTGCAAACCACATAATTGGAACAGGCCGTAGGACTGACATCGAAGAGTTCTGTGGAAAATTTGAGGAACAAATTATTGTCTATTCACAAATTCAAACCTTCTTTATGAGTACAGAAACGGTCCGTCATAACCTTCAGTTTGTTCTGATAGTCTTTAAGCCATTTTATGGCCTAGGAGTAAAGTTCCATTATAAAGATTTCTAATTCAATCTCTAGGTAAAAAATAACTCACATAGATTCTCAATTCTGCTTTTGAGCCTATATGGAGGATTCTACTGATAGCTTAGCTGGGACCTCTAAAGAATAAGTCTAACGAAATATTCATGAATTTCCCTGCCTCTTTTTAACAAAAAAGATCAACCATATATGAATATTTACTCAAAAACAACGCTTTTTCTGTAGTTTTTAAATTTTTTCGATTTTTCTGAACTTTTCAAAAGATTTACCAAATTTACTTCAAAGATAAGAAAATGAACTGAATATTATTCCTTTACAAGTAGCTTTAAATAGCAACATAAATCATCTCCATCAAACTACCAAGTATATTATTGGTTCAGCTGACCTGATCAGCAAGGTAATAAATAACCCAGTTACTGGTTTGATTTTGCAAATCATGAGGCTTGAAGCACATAATGTATGTTTAGACAATATGCATTGCATAGGACAAATTGCATGAAGACATATGGCTTTACAACATTTGTCTCTATGTTTTTAAGGGCTGCACAAAAGTCACTCAACCATCTGTATCAGAACAGAAGACTCTTAGAATTTGAAAAACAGTCAATTGACCTGTTTCGTGGAATTTCAAAACCACACAAAGCATTTAGTTATGGAAACGTAACAAATCAGCATCCAATGGTTCATATGGTTCTTCAGTCTTCAAATGATTCAAATAGTTATGGACGGAATAGAATAAGCTTTCGCTTAACGAGCTTGCGTATCTGGTAGCAGTGGATTACCAATAGCTCTAGGCAGGAACCTAGGTTTATCAACGATAATAGAAGAAAAGAGAAAAATGTCTGTAAATCATAGTAACATACTGTTCTTAGTCCTTAAGATTATGTCAAGTTTTCTCTTAAGGGACTCCTAAGAAATCGATAGGACTAGCTCAGCCGGCATCAAATTTCATCATTTGACTACTCTTAAGGAGTAGACGGTGTGTCCACAGTCGGTTCTACTGTGTTGTATCTAATTTCTGGGTATTACGCTTAAGGTTTTTGTTGAGACTGGGCTTAAGTAGATATCTAACGAGATACCCAGAAGTTTTTAGGATGCCGTAAGTCATTTGAAGGTCAACTTTAAGACGCTTGTACTTCAATGGGTAAACGTTCAGCGATTGGAAGCGCTCTCCATAAGACTTGAATTTGAATCCCTGAACTGAGTTCATGGCCCGAGTTAGATACGCTCCAGAGTATCCTTATCCTTTTGGAGTGAGGGACAAAATACTATGTTTCCGTCCTCTAAATGGAGACGAATAGAACTGTTGAGGATTATATGAAAAGTTCCTCCTTCGAACTGGCCGAAAATGCGCTTTAAAGTTATCAGTGCAAGGTTTGCTCAGAAGACACTTTTCCAGCAGTTGGTGCAAGACTCTGAATCATAAGGCACCAACATTCCTGAATCTTTTTCAACTTGTGATACTTCTAGAGGAGAATTACTTAACCTATATTCGTGGTCTGTAACATGTCTCAGATGACCTAATTTACGCTCTGATGTGTCATAAGTACGTCCCTTGTCATCTGCCCAACACTGGAGTCAAATCAGATCCTCCTGAAGTGCTAGTTTATCCTTTTAGCTTTATGCTGCTCTCCAGAGTTTCACATCATCTGCGAGAAGTAACAAATCTGACTATGCCTGCTATGGCAGAACATTTTTATAAAGCAAGAAATGAAGAGGTTCAAGTACTGAAAACTGTGGGGCCCATAGCCTGAGAGGAATTGAAGTTAACCCTGACCATAAAATGTCGATTTTTTAGGTATGAAGTGAGCGACTCAATTAAAGGTGATTTGACATTTAAGCGTTTGAGCTTATTGATAAAACTTATGTGACTAACCCTATCAAAAGCTTATGAGAAGTTGAAGTATATGACGTCAACCTTCCTTTAACGGGTGAGAGGTTGTAGGTTGTGAATTATTAGTTTGTAAATACGCAGTCTGAGTACAATGGCGGCTGGCTGTTCCTCTAACGAGCGCTGACTTAACATTTTCGAATAATCCAAGATCATAGATGAGGTTGCAGAACCGAGTTTCAGTAGAGATTTCACCCTATAAATGTACATATTCCGCGAAATTAACTTACAGAAGTTTGAAGTCTCCCGGAATCAAGATATAATAATAATATACGTTTCTACCAGGGCAGATACACGCCATTCTTACGGGCATGAATGAATCCGAGACGAGCAGAGCTGGATAATCTTTCCAGACTGCGATAACTGTACTCAATGTCAGCAGTGAACTTCCCGTGGATGACTCCGATTAAGCACCTCGGTGTGGTAGATAATCTCACTGAACACCATACGGGTCCATCAAGACTGACAATTCTTGGTTGTGCAGTTGATGTACTTCCAAGCAAGAAAGCAAGAATAAGGCCACTCTAGCTTTTTTTCGTTGCGAAACAAAGATATCTCAGGTGTCACAAGCTCCCGGTCCGCCAACTGAAAAGATAGTTAGTTTCGGGTATTTCCATCAGTTGAGTATTATTAGTACTACTGAGTCCACGCAACCCAACCATTTTATTCGGTAAACTTGCGGCACTCATAGACAAGAGGTTTGTGCCTTTGATTTGAAACTCATGAGCTTCCCCGTCCTGCTTATCTGCATGAACCTGAAGTGAATGGACAGGTAACCTACCTACACAGGGTTTTCCAAGTTGTTAGTCCCTATCCTTTCCATGTTTTTTTCCATGACTTTGACAGTCCACAAGTGTAATGGTAAGCCCCAACTTGCTTTTTTGCTTGACCCTGGCATCATGTGACTTACCCGGACGCATATTGATTTCTGTTGTCACGAAATGCTTAGAGAGTTTCAGCTGATATATAGGATGATGGACATATTATCTTCGCAAGCCAAGGACTACAATCTCCTACTTTCTTGGCTAGTCTCACCATTTGTTGAATTAGTATGTTTTTGATCTTCAAGGACTGTTTGATGAACTTCCGTTCCCGAATATCAGAGTTTGTGTAGCCAGGGTCCTTGTCTTCTGGAACACCTAGTACAATGATATTTCTTCCCCAGATAATCTTCTCACGAGATCCCCCAGGGATGTTCCGGATAAGATTGAGCTCAGAATACAGTGCGTCATGCAGTATTCTTACATTCCCATCTGATTTCAGTAAGTGACTAGCTAGAAGGATATCCTCTACGTCGGTAACGTCAGTGAGTGTTACACGAAGTAGTCTTGAGTTGGCCGTGTGACCATCAAAGGCTCTATTTTGGGAAGTTCAAGCCTCTTGTCTAACTCTTCCCAAAGCATCCTGTCATGTTTGTTCGGCAAACTGAGAGTAAGGTAGAGCTGTCTTTAAGGTTCATGATTATCAGAGAATCATCACAAACCCTTATTGTTTTCCCAGGTTTTTGGGTGCGTTCAGGTTGAGGACCTTGTTGTTTGGAGGTAAAAGAACGTTTTTGATTCATAGGCTCTTTCCTGACCGTATGGACATTATTGGGGGTAGACTGTGCGGCCAAATCGCCACTTGATTTCCTAGGGTTGTTTGTATGAGTTCTTTACGATAACGGTGATGTAAATGGTTTAATAGACATTAAAAAAGTTTCAATCTGTCTTCATAAGACTGACCAGAGAA